CCTTTCTTTTACCGTGTACTATTTACTATTTTTATTTCCTTCTTTGATCTCTTATCACTTCTTTATTTTAAGGAAGTTGTCTGTGACTAAAAAAGTAGAATCTGTGCCTCAGTCAGATATAAGAAAGTGCTCATTTCTGACTGTAGGGTTTCTTAGGCTGATGAGATTGACTGGATTGTGGTCTCAGTAGTTCTGCAGTTTTCCCTCCTAATTTGTTTCTTGACTTAACTTGCTTATTTGTTAGAAACAAATCGGTGGATACATTTTCCTACCACATTAGTTAAGCCAAAATAAATGCTCCAAATAACAACAATTTGTTTCATTAATATTTACCCCATGAAAACATTTGTCGGACCTATTCATGAACAGCTGAAAGCACTAAGTAATTCTGCAAGTGCTTTATAAGAAGAATGAATACGTCAAGTCACCTATGTGAGCTCTGGCTGTTTTGTATATTATCACTGTGAAAAACCAAGAAAGTAAGCCATGGTACAGTTTGAGCAAAGATGAAAAAATCAAAAGTTCCTACTCTAGAGGTGACAACCCAAGGAAAAAAATAATGCTAATACCCAAAATAATGGGATAGAAAGAATTTGCATAGGAAGCAAATACTGTGTATACTTACTGGGTTTCATATATATATGATGTCTGCACAGGAATTATCTGCTTGCTTCTGTTTACCATCGATGTAGGGAGAGGCATGTCAACTTTTGGATGAGATAAATCCATAGTTCCTGTCTGACTTGATAACTGAGGGAGTTGGGACTAGCTTACACATAGCTTCTATATGAAAACCACTAACATTTGAGCTTGTGTATCCTGCTGGGACTGCCAAACTATTGGTAAGTTTTACAGAGAGGTTTTGGAGGAGGGTATGGAGATAGTACTGTGGATGATTATGGTTTTTTGCCTCCATGTACCAAGAAGTCTTTAGGAGAACACACAAAAAAATTCAAATAAGGACATGACAGAAGTTGACATCAGAAATCAATGTCTCACCAGCAAATAAGAATGGAGTGGGGATAACCTGTGAAGGGCTTTGAAGATCAAGACAATGCCTCCAAAAAAAAGGGAAACCAATGAATTGATATATAATTTCCTTGACATAGTCAAAGCAAGAATCTATGGAAATTATCTTTACAGTAGAAGAGAGAGGATAGATATAAAACAACAAAACTTTGTCTTTGAAGGGATATTAGTATTAATTGAGATTAAATGTAGAAGGAAAGGAGAATGAGAAAAAAAAGAATGAGTCTTATTAAGGGATAATCAATGAGAAGAAACTATCAAAGGAAGACTTGAGAATTTATCAGAAATGTCAGGGTGAATACCAACGGACGTTGACACCTCACAAGCCAGGGGATGACAAGATTTTAAGAGCATAGTTGATTATGTCAAAGACATCAGGCAAGATTGGAATAACGGGGTACTGAATATGAGATTTGGCTGAAAGAGCATTTGAAAATTGACAAGAGTGATTTCAACTGAATGAAATTGGTCCATGTTGGAGAAGAAAAATGGAGTGACAGGACACAGCATACACAAGCATGAAATGGGGGAAGGAAATAGGGACAAAGGTGAATTGTTTTGAACAGGAGATATTAACACAAGGTTAACAAGAACAACCTTTGTTTCTTCAAGAGAAGACAGAACATTCTACTTTTGGTCCTTTGCTACCAAATTTCTTTAGTAATAATCCCCATTTTGTTCACCATGCTATTTTATCACACTAACAACATAGCAAAGGGACATCCTAGTGTTCCACTGTCATATTTCCAGACTCTTCCTCCCAGAGATTTAAGCAGGGCAATAGGGTACTTTTGCCCACAAATTGCCAGCTAGCACTCACTGATAGTTAAATGTGTGCCTCTTTCCAGGATTGTATGAATATAACCTGCCCCTGTCCTCCTTCAAGTCAGCAGTGTCTATCCCGGTCAGCAAGCTTCTGGCTCTCTAGCCACAGATGGTCTCTCTGGTAGCATGGCTACTGACTCTGATTTTTATTGATCAGCGGCAGACAAACCTCGCTGTGCACACAAGCTCAACAGCTGCTATTTCTTGAGCAGTTCATAATTCATGCTTTCTAACTTACTTTACCAATAGCACACTAACAGATCTGCACTTAGCTTTTGTTGAAAGCAGAAGAGAGGGCAACAATACTGATGGCACTGGAAACATGAAAAGCAGACTTACATTATGTGTGTGGAAAGGCGGAAGAGTCATGCTGAGGTAAGACCAGGAGATGGTCAAAGCCAACAAATTCTGAAATAGCCTCTTGTATGTGATGAGAGGCCAGAAAGAAAACAACACTTGAAGACTGAGTCATGTGAATGGCTCTTTGGCAAGTTAGAGAGTTGTGCCAAAGCTGAGGGTTGAATGAAGACCCAAATCAAGCAACACACAGCTAAGGCATTAGGTGGGTCATGAGTGTGAAAGTTAATGTCAGCGAGGATACAGAGTAGAAGGCTATGAAGGAAGGAAGAGCAAGCTGTCAAAACTAAGCTGGGGTGTAGATGGGTAGAACAAGGTAGAGAGCAAAAGACATGTCATAAGAGTGGAAACTAGAGTCAAACACAGCGAAGGGTATAAGGGAGGTAACTTGGTTGTACAAATCTACTAATACTGTATAGCCTTCAGCACTGTGTTTGAGATCTGGGGTTTGTATCCTACCAGTACTAAAACAGTACTTTATATGATGGCTCTTTATGCTATTTACATGATATAAGTTGTCCCTCCAGGATATCAAGAATTATAGCTTACAGTTTTCTGTCCTTCCACCGCACACCAGCATGACTGTAAACCCACTCCCTCTCTTTGTTTGACAAGCTGTTTTGGTTTTTTTCTTGCATAAAGATAATAGGTTTATTAAGTTTCTCTGTTTCTGTATTTGTTTCCATGTTACCTCTCTGATATCAGGCCCAGCCCTCAATTAACCTTCAGTATCCTTGGTAGTGTCTGTTCTATCAAATTAAGTCTGAATCCATCCTAATTCAAGAGTGACCGAAAATTATTACTATTCTGATGGCTGGTCAGTGCCATTTTTGAAATGAACTGTGGTCCTGGTCCCACTCTGGTGGATGGTCCACATCTCCCAAGCACTGTCACAGCCGGCACTAATTGGCACCCTCATTCTTAGTCTTAGTAGGCAGGTTGTGCACCAGATTGTGCAACAAATTATTTTCCCACTCCTAGTTGTGATCTACCTAGGTCAAAGTTTAAGTAGAATACAGAGACAGGGAAGGAAAGCCCAAGTTATTGCTGCTTTTGGTGTACCTTCTCTGTGGCTCAAGTCTCCAGGACTTTTCAGATTTCATCATCTCTGAGGTAAACGTAAAACAAAGTCACTTACAAGGTGTCCTTGAAAAATTGTTTCGAGACCATTTTTATAATTCTGCAGTGACTGATAGCGATCTGAATGCTAACACAATAACAGGTTGGCAGAAACATTTTATTACCTTAATTGTGGATGAGAAGTAATTCTGCAAAAAGAAAGAGGGAACTTGTCATCCCACGCTTCAGTGGGATTCTCAGACATATTCGGATAGAAGCCGAGTGCTATGAATGTCAGATGGTGGGTCCCCCAGGCTCCCTGGCAACCTGCATGCAACTAAGAAAGAGGCAACAGCTTGCTTCAAGTATCCTTCATAGAGATGACATCGTTAGATAAACCCAACAGGGAGTATAGCACATGGAGGGAGCAGTCTGGTAAGAGGAAACCATTCCCTGTGGGACTGGCTCCATATTGCCACATGAAATGTTCAAAACACTGCTAGCCAGGAAAGTTGAATTTATTGCTTAATGAGCAGAGGACCCGGAAAAGATCATTGACAACTGCAGTGTAAACACAGCCACTTAATAGGGTGTTACTGAATGCCAAGAGGAAATTAAAAAAATCTGTCCTACAAGCAGCACTTTCTACCATATAGAATATGATTGGAATAAATACAGAACACAGAAAGCAGCTGTAGAGAACAGATGAGATATTAGATATGGTGGAAAGAAGAGAAGAACTTAAATCCAGGGGGCATTTTGTTTTTAGATTGCCTTGAGTATAAGAGTCGTGAAAAAGAAATGATGAAGGAAGACAAGTTAGCATAACAGCAGCAGAGTGACAGAGGTAACGCAAAATGACACTGTGACATTATTAAGAAGCTCAGCAACACACTCAACCTCCATCACAATGTCATCAGGACAGATGGCAACAATTGGCAAAGACAAGGCACAGCATGTCTGGAAAGCAATAAGAGCCTATAGAAGAAAAAAAATAATATGAGCAGCTATGGAAAACACAAGAGAGTATTACAGATTTTTCTAGAGGTAAAACAACAATTTACCCTCCACCCTATGCGTATTTGTCACAACTGCCTGATGGATATGACATCATTTACCACTTTGTCAAAGCTTTGAAAAGAATCAGGACTTTCATGGAACTCATTACTACCATTTATTATTTTTTTTAGTACCTGTGAAACCTATTGTGAAGGACTGCATTTCTAGGCACTTAATCAGAATTAAAAAATGATCCCTGCAAAATGAGTTTACAGTCAAAATGTAGCATGAAACAAAACACTTGGATGCAGATAGGTGAGGGTATAAATGAAGAGGCTTGTCTTCTAGGAACATCAGCAAAGACCACAGAGGAATGACAAAATGAGGAAAGTAAGGCTATGAGAGTAAGGAAGTATGGTTATTTCTTCATAAAGATCTCACTTTCAAAATTAATGGACAAAAAGGACAGCCACAGCACAGGTGAAGAACACAAATGTAAGAAAGAGTAAACTTCAGACAGGAAGTAGAAACTCTAGGGAAAGTTTGCCAAATGTACAATTATAACTATGGTATCTAATAAGGCAATAGAGGCAGAGAAAGCATTAAGTAAACAAATTGCTGAGTAAAAGACAAATCACCAGTTCAGCCTGAGCTGGTGTAAGCCAAGCAGTACACATGAATCTTGTTCTACCTGTACCAGCAGTGTCTGCTGTGAAGTCCACTTGTTATTGCTGAGCGATATCGCCAAAAATCAAGTCCCCAACATGCTGAGCTTCCACTGGAGGAGAAAGTTAATCTCCTCTGGTTAACTGAGCTCCTGGAAAAAAAACATATATAAATCTTCAGCCAGTAGGACAATAGGGTTAAAGAAGGAAATTTTTCACTAGCCAATACTTAGAATTACATGGATTTTAGCGAGCCATCTTGTGGTTGGGAAGGGCTATCCATGTTTTTTTTCTTAGTAGAAATTCTTATTGTTTACTTCTACCTCTGTGTTTTTGCACAAAGTCACATTTTGAACATGAGTTAAGGGAAATTTATAGAAAAGTAGAGAGTGGCAATACATAAAAAAGCAATGTGAGAAGCTGTATGTGGCACCAGGCCCTGCTGTTCAATTCCATGTGTGTTGGGTATTTGCTTGACCCTTCCCAGCTGTTGTGTACTTCCTGATCCCCCAGATGATATGAGCCCCTTGCCTGATCAGCTTCCAGATGCTATACTGTTCCCAATTCCTCCTGATCATAAGTCTCAACGCCAACTCAGTTCCAGCTGCCCTAACTCTCATCCTTCCTCACAGAAGAGCTCCCTACCCAACAGTTGCCCCAAATGTCATAACCTGCCCGACCCTCCCCAGCTGTTGCAATCCTCCTGATCCCACACTGTAAAACCTCTTTGATTTGTCCCCTTCCCAGCTGCTCTGCCCATTACCACTGAAGGCTGTGGTCCAGCTCCTATCTCCTTGAAGTGTCCTACAAGTGCAAAAATTTACAATTGCAGCTCACAGATTCCTTGGTGAAAGAGTTTTCTTTATAGGACACAACTTTTCAGCCAGATTTCAGACAAATCTCCCTGCTGCCATATCTTTAAGGTGGTAAAAATCTGACTTCATGTAGATTTATCAGCAGCTGTAATAGTTACAACATATAGTTATATGTTGTAATGCATGCTATATTGTATTGCACAATATAAATATTATATTAGTATAATTGTGTATTATATAACCAATATAAAATGTTAGTATTAAAAGATTATAGAGAATGAACAGATTAAAAATGAAATACTATAATGATATGTATATTATAATGCAATCAATGTCTTTAGGATTTTCTTTTATATGTGCTAAGTGAAAGGACACTCTTCACAGAAAACTAAAGATCTCTTTACTTAAGAGTTGACCTCAAAACGCAGGGCTGATTTAATTACCCTCAGGCTTCTTTATCCCATTTTGTCAACATATTCCAAATCCTTCTTAATTTGTGTCCACTTCACATTGCAAAACCAATGCAAAGAAGCACTGGCATATAGAGAATCCAGAGGTCCACAGAGTTTAACATTGGGGTTCCAATACTCTTTGCACACAGATTATTACAGGTCAAGAAAAAAAAATATCACTGATTTTTCAAACAAAATTGCTAAACACATTAGGGTAACAAGGTCATTATTTACATGATTTAGGTATCTGGTGAATATACATAAATATGTTCACAAATCACAGGGTGATACTAGTTCGCATTAATCATTTTTTCTAAAACCGCTAAAGACCTCACTATTAATCTATAAATTATTAAACTAATCATTTATTATAATCTTTTAAAATTTTCAGTTATTTAGAGGGAGAGGGAAGAAAACAAGACAAGACTAATTATACCACTCAGATCGCCAATCCTCTAACTCAAATAATCTATATTCCGTATATGGAGAAAGTATCTGCTTTCTGATGTTAGTGGGAAGTGGTTGAATCGTCATCCCTGGAGATATTCAAAAGATGGGTAGAGGTGGTGCTTACGGACACAGTTTTGGCAGTTTTAGGTTAATGATTGGACTTGATGATCTTAAAGGTCCCTTCCAACCTAGACGATTCTATGATTCTAATTCAGACATTCCAAAAGTAAATGAGCAGTCAACACAATAAGGTCTTCTGTTTTTCAGTTCTGGGTCTACTCCACCTCTATCCATGATTTCCCTATTGTTCTGCGTACACTGTTAAAGCACTTTGATAGTCTTATTAGTTGTTCTACCATGTTTATTCTCATTCCACATCCATCTTATGACCCTTAACTGTATGCATTGAATAAGTAAACACTAGTACCAGCTATGGCTGGCCCCCAGCTGGGTATGTGATGATTCATGCAATGTACAACCCACAGTAGCAGCTAAAGGTATCAGGAATACCTTTTTAGATAAAGGAATAGTGAATCAGTCCATAGTCTTACAAGCATGTCTATGTCATCATCTAGACTATATATAGATCAGAGATTTGGCTATGTGGAACCAACTGAGAAACTGATGCCTGAAGTTATCATCACTTTAGACAGGTCTAAACATAAGGAACTTTTAATCTGGAAAACTGTTTTTCTATGATACAGGGGAAATACAACGACATTTCTTTCACTGTTTTGGAGGGATTTTTGTTTGCTTTGGTTTTGAAAAGCACATATTTGCTAACGATGTTGCAGTCTCTATGAGTGGCAAAGGACCATTGATGTTTTCTTTTAAAGAAGACAATGTAATTCAGAAATCATGTAGTTCTTTCTGCGTTCATGTCCCTTTGTACATTGTAGGAACACATAAGAATAAGCTTACCTCAGAAGGATCCCCTTTTATTTCAAAAATGTCTCCTAACTTCATACATCTGCAAAACTGGGCTGTTAATCTCACAAAGACATTTCTGTTCATTCATCAGCGCAACAAAAGTAAGAAAGCACAACAGGAAACTGGAAAACAAAAATGACAGTAAAACATTATAAGAAAACTGATACACTTATGTTTTCTTCAAAATTGACATATTAGGCTGATGTCCTATATTTCTGAATTTGTAGCAAATGACAAAATAAGTTGATCAAGGTATTTGTGCGTTTGGGTTTCTTTCATTATCATTCTAGCCTAAACAAATTATATTCATGATATAACAGAGTGAAAGAGCTAATGAAAGAGCCAGTGTCAATTTAGAGAGGCAACTATGGTGAAATGTGAAAAATATCTAATATTTCTCTTTCACTGAAATGGACTTTCAGAGTCTTTTCATGTATGTCCAAATTAAAATACAATGTTTCCTTCCTTATTTCCTAATAAAGACAAGGCTAACCAGTAAATGGCTTCATTTAGTTTTTAGGCAGGGTAACCTTTAACACCTTCATTTTATCAGGATACAATTTCCAGTACAAGTTCTTCTCAGAAGAAAAGGGCAGTAAAGAGAGGGCAAAAAGGTGAGGGTGAAGATGCGAAGAGATGCTTTAGGTACTCCTCACAGCTGGTAGGTTAAATGACTGCCACAGACTTGGCAGATTCTATTAGCAGCAGTTCTGTGGATGGCAGTTTTATAGTTATGGGAATCTGAGGAGAAGTGCAGTTCAAAAAATTAAAACACATGTAGAAAAATGAACTTCTGCAAAGGAGTCAAGAATTAAGAAACTTCCCATTCTCTGTTAGAGTTTCTGTTTGTATCTCTGTGTGTAAAAGAGAAAAGGAGAGATCTCAAGCAAATCATATCTCTGTGCCTCGGTTTCCCATTCCTAAAAGAGAAACAATTGGGTAGTACCTTCCTTTCACAAAATGCATGATTCCTGATGCAAAAATATTTGTCATTGACTTTCTTAGTGCATTTGTTCTGCATAAAACTGAAAACAATTGTTCATTCGTTAATCTAATGTGTTTCTGTGGCATCAAGGACTCCAAGGACTGAGTTTTAATCTCAGTGCCTATATTTCAGTTACTGGTGAATACTTCTTTTCTGGCAAAGTGCAACGGCTTTTATTTCTGTCTTTTCCCAGCCCCTATGTGTAGACAAGTTACACTGTGTCCCTTGGGGTCAGAAGAGACCAGAAAGCCAGGCTGATTTGTAAGGCCCCAAGGCTTGGCCTCAGGCACAAGTATGTACAGTCTGAGAGCTTCATTCACATCCTCAGCGCATACGTGAGCTCTGTTATTGTTAATGGAAGTAATACACACACTGAAATACCAGATATTTTGTTGTTTCTGCAGTAAAGAATACCATAAGTACAGAACAAAATTACCCAACCAGACTAGAAAATCTCTGTCCAGTGCATGTTTTGCAGAGGAGCAGCCTGGGGTCTAACCTTTGAAATGAGAAGTATGATGTGTTCTTAAACTGAAATGCTTGATATACACTAGTAATGAAAGCTTCTTCCAAAACCCTGAGCAGTGATAGTGGACTATTTAAAGATAAACTCAGGAGCCAGGTCATACCATGGTAGATATAGTTGACGTTGACACAGTGAATTTGTTCAGCGCAAGAGAGAGAAGGAAGAACAGTTGTTTACATCTCAAGCGGAATCACTCTGAACTGGACTCAGTTCCTTTATGCTCAAGGATACATTGCCTACAAAGGAGATGTAGTCTCCAATTTTCTGTCCATCCAGACAGATGTAATACCTTAAGACAGGTAGTTTGCCACCAAAGTGGGGAAGTAAAACAGCAAATTACTACAGGCTACCCAAACTCACATTCAAAACCAGATCCACAGTCCTTCAAAATCACTGAGTTCCTCTCAAATCAAATCCCTGATGTCTCATCGTAAAAATGCTCCCATTTCTGTAAACTTCATTAAGAGGCCCAATTTTATGTTTGAAAAATATTCACAACAGGGATATCAGGAGTGTTAGTATCTCAGTTCCAATCATCCTTAACAGTTTGTTTTCCTTCACACTCTACTCTCCCCATTTTAAGGCAGCCCAGTTCCATACGCCCTCATTCAGTTGTGGGGATCGAGGTGAAGAAGAGGAAGATGGACAGAATGGCAGCACTGACGACTGGCTGTCCTGTGCACATGCTGTGAGTGAAGTGATAGTGTGCTGGGCTGGAGGGTGCTATTCCACATAGTTTCTAGTAGTTCCTCCTGGACTAAACTGGCCGGTTCCAATTCACAAGCCTGCCAGATGGCTGTACCTATCTGGGCTGCCTTATCATAAGATGACTGGGACAGTCACTGGCTCTGCTGATGAGTCACTAAAGACGGGACAGATGAGAGCTGATCAGGATGGCATTTCCACTGGAGTGAGGACTTCAGACTTGGATCAACAGCTTTCAGCCAGACGCCATACCGCAAGTGTTTACTGCTAGTGGTGAAAGGAAGGGAGGGGAAAAAGCCTGTGGTTTGACAGAAAGATGAGATTTTCTAAAGAATATAATTCCATTGGAAATAGTATTCAGTAGTTTTATAACTTCTCTGTTATCAAAATAATAAAAAAAAAAAAATTGTCTCATTATTTCACTGCCTAGATTTAAATAATTTAAGAGCAAATGCAGAGACAATGAGGCAAACAGAAGTGCTATATTTGTATACAAATGACCCAAAACTTTGTGGCTCCATGAGAGTTTCATCAGTCTCTAACAAAGTATTGCAGAAGAAAAGTCCAGCATTTTCTGGCAACTAGTCCATAGACATAAGCTACAAAAGTTATTTCTTTGCCCCCTTGGGGTTCAGGAAGAAAGACGTTGACCAAGAGAGAGGGCAGTTGTATATGGTTTTAGAAAGTTTATTATTGTTGTTGTTGTTACTGCTGTTATTATTATTTTGATTTTGCCCCCAAAAGTGAATTCCCCATCGCATTTGGATGATTAGGCCACATTTGGCCTACACTCCACCAGTTAGAAAAGCCTTGCTCCTTTGTATATTCAGAACAAGTTTCATGAGAAGTATCTCAGAAACATCTGCCTTCATTATAATTATATTTCTATTTCAGCTGCACCAAGCTATTTACAGATGAGCCTGTTCATAAAGAGCTTTATAATTAAGCAAACAGAAATATCTTTTTATAGGATGCAGATCTAGGGGTGATAATCACACACAAAATACACAGCAACAGTTGCAAATAGAGTGTTTAATGCTAGTTATATAGTTAGTGATGTGCTCAATAAAGCCTGACATGTCTTTGTTCCTAAATGTAAGAAAATATGGTCTTTGCTACATAACTGTGTAAACTGCCTTTTTCATATACAAAAGGCCATATATTTCAAGGGGTATTGCTTGAAAGCCATCATGAGAATAAGTCTTCATGTCTCCAGTGCAATGTGATTACCAAGCTCTTGGGCAGAAAAAGGAGCTGACAGCACGTATTTTAATTTCAGAAGTGTGACATCTTCTTTATGTATGATGTGTGATCTGACACTTCCACTGATGGACAGCAAAAGATAGAGAAGTGAAATGAGCAAATATTGGAAGAAGAAAAAAGAAAGACAATCTATTATTTAGTGAAATTACTGACTAATGTCTTTTTACAGTTTATGTGTTTCAGGAATCAAACCTTGCTCTTTTGTAGCATTTTCTTAGAATTTTTACAAATAATTCTAATAATTGGGGGATTGGACGAGATGATCTCCAGAGGTCCCTTCCAGCCCCATATGATTCTGTGATTCTGTAATTGTAGCCCAACAAGTGGGTTTGTAAACTAATCTGGTGTGATACACCATATGAAACCCAAGTGTGAGCAACATGAAGAAAAAAGAAAATCATACATGACACCTCATTTTTCAAAAATAAGGTTTTGTTTGTAGGAATTTCTATGGATTTTTTTCCTTCTTCACATTTAAATCAGCCAAAATAGATGTCTGAAAGAAGACAGCAGAGAGCAGGCCCCTCGATATAACTTTAAAAAAGCCATGAAGAGAAGTGATGTGAGTAGAATAATATCTTTGAGAAAATCTTCGCTAAAAACATGTGGAATCACTTTAATATATTCCAGGTAAACTAAATAGTCTAATTTGGTTGAGAAGTTGCTATTAACGTATGTTATTTTTATACCCTTGAACAGATTATAAATAATCTGGTGAGATATTCCTAGAAGAATTTGAAAGGGAAATACATGGAAAATTTCAGTATTTGTCAATACCATTTAATATGAGTTCTTAAAAGGGTTATTCATGCTTTCTTCTTCAGGTTGGTGCTTTGCCTCCCTGGAGGACCTTACCTTTGTCTGTCAACTATACAGAGCACCTCTGGAGGCAGAGCTACAAGTGAGCAATGTAAATACATTCAACTACACCACCTCTGAAGTGGTTTCTTCATTGCTACACCACAGATTTCAGAATGCATTAAGTAATTCATAAATCATGTTAAACAAGCAGTCTTAAGCTCCATGATGGGATTACAAAAGTGTTCTGATGCCTGTTTTGTACTGCTGTTTAACTTGAAAAGGTCTCCCCGTAAACATCCAAAAATGACTTCATTACATTCCTTGAAACCAAAAACTTGGTGGCAGTTAAGCCCTGGGTAAGCTGTGATATTCCCTTCTTTTTCCCATCATGCCAATCAGTATTTATTCTAATTTCTTTGGTCTTCTCCATCTGTATCCACCCATTGCCTCTTGCCTTGTATTTCAATTGCAAGCTCTTGGAGAAAGAGATCTTCCTATTCAATTCATGCAGTGAAGCATAATGGAGTCAAGAACTGTCACTCTTATGTGCCACAACAATACAAATGACAAACAGGACAATATTTCTTCATCCACAGAACTACACAGAGTAAGGGACTCAAATAGAGAAATGTATTGTGTAAAACAAGAATATTGTTTCTCTATTATGTTTTCATGCACTAAAAGTAAACATCTCCTTTCAGTATCAAATGGATTCTGGCTTAAATTACGTGGGAAAAAAAAATATGTCTCAGTGAGTATACAAGATGTATGTTGCCTACAATGTGGACAGTAAAATCTCAGAGAAAATAATGCCTTAAAGGATCAGTGCTATTAAAAAAGTG